GACATGAAATTTTCACCAGATGTCGGTAACAACCCAAGTGATCCATACATAAAAAAATCAAACCATAAATGTCCAGAAATTAAGTTATTTGTAATAATGAGAATCTACACCAACATATGATACAAAGTTTGATAAATAAAATAATGTGACTTTTCCCAAGAGTGGGATCATCACCTATGACTAATACTTTTGCTGATTGCCTGCACTGACCCCTTGACCTGGATGGAGTTGAGGCAACAGGTTTTTGGCTGAATATGATGCACTTGGTCTTAGTAGTATTCAAACGGAGGTGGAGATTGTTGAAGAACTGCTCTATAGAGGTGAGGCTGAGTTGAAGGCTGGAAGCCACAGATTGGGAAGAAGGGCCAACTGAGTACAAAATGGTGTCATCTGCGTATAGGTGAATTTGTGATGTGCCAGCAGCCTTTGATACATCATTGATGTAAATAGAGAAAAGCGTTGGGCTCAGAATGGAGCCTTGAGGCACACCTGCAGAGTTGATAAGTGGATCTGACATGATGTCCTCAGCCATCAGTTGCTGGACACGGTTAGTGAGGTAGCTGCAAACCATTTACAGCTGGAGGTGGACAGACCAATATTAGATAGCCTTTGTAAAAGGATGCTGTGATCAACAGARTCAAAGGCCTTGGAAAGGTCTATGAAGGCAGCAATGCAGACCAACTTATTATCTAATGCTATTACATCATCAAGTACCTTTGTGGTGGCTGTTATGCATCCATGTCCCGTTCGAAAACCAGATTGTATGTCAGATAATTTATGGTTTTTATCCAGGAACTCATTTAACTGTATATGGACAAGCTTCTCTAGAATGTTTGCAAGACACGGTAAGACAGATATTGTACGATAGAAATTTGGATCAGATGTAGAACCACCTTTGAAGAGGGGAAAAATTTGGGCTGATTTCCAGATGGAAGGGAACTCGCACAGCTGTAGAGACATGTTAAAAAGTCTTGTGATGGGAGGGGCAATAATGTGGGCTGCAGCTTTTAAGAACATGGGATCCAAACCATCAAGTCCAACAGATTTGTTTGTGTTCAGCTCAACGAGTTATCTTGGACTTCAGAGATGGATAGGGGTGTGAAAGAGAAGCCACTGCTGCTTGATGTAGAAGGTTTGATTTGAATAAATGGATAGTTTTCTGGCTTCTGCAGAACTTGAAAGAGGGAATTCACTGACTGACTCAGGTGTTAGAGAAGGGAGAAAAAAAAGTAAAACATGCAGGGCTGTAGACCTCGAGTACCAGAATTGACTATCCCTGGTGTACAGTAACTTATGCTCCATGATGTTCTTTAAGGACAAACTTAACTCATGGTAGTGTAACAATTTCATGTATTTGTACCTAACTGTCACGATACAGAGGTCAAGGGGTCAGTGCAGGCAATCAGCAAAAGTATTAGTCATAGGTGATGATCCCACTCTTGGGAAAAGTCACATATTTTTATTTATCAACCTTTGTATCAGATGTTGGTGTAGATTCTCAGTCATCCAAGACATGGCAAATCTAAAAAAAGATTTAAATAAAAAAAATTAGCAACTGGACTTCTTTTCTGTAGTTGACGAGGTGCAGAGTTCCATGCTTTAAACTACATAACATTGATATCAATACTTGGATTAATTCACATGCCTCTACTTCAGTGTTGTATATTTGGATGAAATGCGACATGATGCCCGTTCAGACTGAGGTCGCTTTGAAAATCTTTATGTATTTGATCTAATACTAAATTTGTAAGTGACCTAGGTTGGATTTTTTTTAATTGTATGTTGTTTAGACTGTTACAAAACATCAAACTCGATTTGAAGTTGGTCCATGCAGTGTCTCAGACACAAAGGCAAAGTTTTCAAGTTAGTAGATTTCAGACAACCATGTTTTTGCCACCAAACACACAAATGTTTTTTAATGCCCTGTTTAAAGGATGCTGAAGTGAATGCAACAGGAAAGATGTTTACCAGTTTCATGAAATAAAAAAAAAGTCTAAACTTGTGCAAAAACAACTGCTTTTAACAAAGATACCAATAGTGCTTAAAAACTTTCTACACTTCCACACTTAGGCTCCAACCTTATGAGTCATGTCAGTGACTATGACTTATGTGAGGAAAGAAAAGCTTTTTTTTTTCTTCCATCCTACGAATGCAAGCCAAAGTGTTTATGGTGTGGGAAGCTAGTTCTTATGAGATGTGGGTGTTCAGTAATGAGTTGCTTTGCTGTTTCTCACAAGTTTTTGTCCTCACAGTCCCTGCTAACTTTCTGCAGCTGTCTTTAATCTATTCTATGGTGTATGTTTGTTATTATGGATTATTCATAAGCATGTACAACAGTGGCTGATGGTCACTTAAAAAACTGAACTTTCACCCACCAAAAACATTACCCATAGATAGTGTAGATCTTGAAAACTGTAATCCTCCCCCACCTCTTCTAAATCTAAAGAAAAGTTCTTTGCATTAGGTGAGCCTCAGTTATTTTTAGGGTGCTGCAGTTCTTTTTTTTAGTATAGAACCTGTGCCCATTTGATTCAAGCTGTGGTCCTGTATTCTGTTCACCAGCTTCTATACATTGACGTCATCAAGATGTCATCATCTTAGACGTGATCCTGATGAAATAACTTGAATTATTCTTTATACTTAAAATCAGTAATGACCACAATAACAATTTATTTTAAGATTTTATGAATTTATTTTGTTCTGTGGGCTTCTGTCAAAAAAGCAGCAATTAGGTGTAACAGTTATTCCAGCATTTAACAGTATGCATGACAATCACACAGAAATAAACGTTTAAAAAATATATATCAAATTCATCTCAAATTAGGTGACTGACAACATGATTAATATGACAGAACAGCAGATGATCGACTATAGTGGTACCAATAAAAAAAGCACTTTTTTGCACAGAAATATGAACTTTTCAAGGAAATAGTTCTTATATACAGAATAAAACCAAAAAAAAAAAAAAAATCAAAACATAAATTGAACTTTTACAACAGTGCAGACAGTGTTTGTGTCATCAAGTAAGTTGTAGAAATGTTTAAGAGAGAAAAGATATATGGCATCAGTTTGAAGTTTACATCCAGACTTAGTAAATCTTTCCTTGTTAAGATTATGATGTAGTTAAAAAATAATTACAATGTAATTATGTAACAATCACATAGAAGTGTTACCATAATTCGCTTCTGCAAAAACCTTTGATATGTTCATAATATGTGTTTACATCAAACATTGCAAGGTCAAGCTGCCTAAATTAAACATGACTATTCTATTAAAATAAAGAAATTATTTGTCTGTGTTCTCAAAGTCAAACTCATGAAAGTACATAATCTGATCAAACTCATTTATTGCTGAGAAATAAAACCAGTTTTATTATTAACTGGAAATTAAATAGTCTTTTAGCTCAGTGTATTCTGATCAGTAACATTCAACAGCCTACTACAACATAACATAACCTAATAATACTTTTGAAATGTATGTCATTTAGTTTAGATACTTAAATTCTTTTTTAAATGTAGTATACAAATACTTACATGCATACAATCTATTCAGTTTAAGGTCATTAGTATCCAGTTAGTGTTACTGGCTTCTTGTTATTAAGACTAAGTTATAAAGACAAAATGTGAATTTTTCTTAAATGCCATTTTACCCACCAACAGTATTTGTAAAGTTTGGCAGAAATGAGTCAGCTGATTAATTTGGCTGATTTTGACCTTTCCATATTTGTTTAATAATCAACATTAGCCACGCTTGAGCTGAATAACAGACAGGCATATCTGTGGGCACCACAGATGGCAGAACAAGTGTTACCTAATTTCTCTCTGGGATCAATAAAATATTTTTGAATTTGAATTGAATTGTGAAGGACTAGGTCACTATGCCAATTGAAAATCTACCATTGTTTTCTTGGGGAAAAAAATTAAAACACTGGCAGATGCCAAAAACGTTTGAAGAATACTGACCTTAATATGTGCTTACTTGTAGAGGAACAATGTAACTGCCAGTTTGAAAAATAAAGCCTTCTTTTCCCCCAGATCCCTTTAAGTGCTTTGCTATGAAATATCGATAACTTTTGGAACTACTTTTTCAGAGGGCTTTTAATCAGCTGTACGTTTATGTGCTGACCTGCATCGTACCCAAGGGCTTTATTACTCCAAATTAAACTTAATAGTTTTAAAATATTGCCATTTACTCTTAAAATCTTTATCTGCATCGAGCTAGTTACAACTGCACTTGTCCAGTTCTCATGACTAAATAAAGTTGAGATGTGCTGAGATACTTGAGGCAGAAAATGTCAGTGGTGGCATTTCATGCTCTAAAACTCCAGCTTCTCTGAAAAGGTTGGAGAGGTTTCTTGAGGCTGAAGAACATGAGATGAGGTTTGAGTCGTGCAGTTTTCTCTGGAATGACAGCAGCTTTGCTTTCCTCAGTAGGAAATCTGTTGTGGTAGACCTCTGGGTAGGACTTCTGAAACTGAAGTTGGGAAGAAATTAAAATTCTTACAGAACGTGTTTTTTATATAAAAAATGTAAAGCATCTGATCTGACATCTGGCTTTGCAAAATAAAGTGTAAGATATTCTGATGGATCTTTGTTTAGTTAATTGAACCAAAAACAATTTGAGTTTGCTGTCTGAAAAAAAAATCTGTGAAGCAATGACACTTTTTACAGACAGTCTAATCCAAGAACTGCTTCAGAGCAGCTTATTTGTTTATCCTATAGTGCTACTGTGACCTGGTAAGAATTAAAGATTGTTGCTAGTACTCTGTCCCAGATGTGAAAAGCTTAAATATAAAATATGCACAGTTTGCTCATAAATTATCAGAGCAAAGCCCATTAAAAGGCATCTCTCAGGACTTAGAGGAAAGATTCAGAGCTTTGGCATGATGCTAACATCTGCTTTGTTCACCATATCAGCAGATATTAACATAAAATTCAAACAGGTTTTGATTGACACCTTCTATGAGTTCAGACACTTTTTTAAGAAAACATTTTTAAATTAGAAAACTGGAAGGTTGGCAGGTGGTCTTTCTTCCAGAGAACATTGACTTTTACACTGGTTTGAGAATGTGGCACAAAGTTTCCCAAACTGTTTCTTAATGGCTTGATGTGTTCAGTCCTGTCTATTCTGTGCTGTTTGACTCTAGCCCTCTTACCAATGATGCACAAGGTATAAACAGAGCCATGTTTACCTACTCCACTTAAAGTAAGACAATTTCCACAACATTTTACTGGATTTATTGCTGCATCCTGGGCGGGGACTCTCCTAAAACTATTCTAATTAGTTGCAGATAAATATAAATAAGTTAGTGTTGTTTTTCCTTGTATAAAAATATAATAATAGATGCAGGCAAACCATTTCCAGTGTTTACACTGAGATTTCACATTACTGCTGCCTTCAAGAGTTAAAATCATGGTTCTTCTGGTGTTGAGCCCATGCAGTAATACAACATAAAGACGGTTTATCCATGGGCACATCATGTGTCCACTGAACAACCATCAGTCCAAACAGGAGCCCCCAGAAGAGGAGACAGGAGGGAAAACCATGATGATTTGTAAAGCCTAATGCAGTCAACATTTGCTATCAGTTCATCACATTATTGAATTGCATAATGGCAGCTTACTTTTTTACTTGTAGGCTGTTACTACCCAACTCTGCGGTACAGCATGAGTGGGCTGACTGCAACCTCCCTCGCTGACTCAATACCTTCAGAAATCACACAGAGGTGGCCAGAAGATGTCTACTGTACATGTACATGTAGAGGCAGAACGGGTTGGAAGATGGCTGTTTGATGTTATGTATTGTTTTTAAAATCATCCTATAGGCTCTGACATGTTAGATAAACATGTTAGATAAACATGTTAGATAGTGTGTGTGTGTGTGTGTGTGTGTGTGTGTGTG